TAATCTGTGTTGTCCCATGCGGTCGTTCAAACAGGCAAAGTACCGAATTCAATCATTAAAACTAACAAAACTTTACTCTGACATATATATCTAGTTATCAGATGATAAATTCATATTTCTACTCTTTTATCATCAAAAAACCGATAAACACAGTGGCGGATTTAGGGTAAGTGTCGGGGGTGGTGGGGGGGGGGGGGGGGGGGGCTGACCCCCAAGCGATTTCTGAAATAAAATCACACGAATGCTTCCCTCTTGAATTTAGAATTTTGACTAGCTCTAAAAAAACCCAAAATTTTCGAGGCATTTCAGTGGACCCCGAACCCCACGCCAAAGTGGGAGGGGCCGAGGGTCGGCTTTGCACCAGCGGCCGGTCATTCCGAACAACCGGACTGGTGCAGGGGGGGGGGGGGGGGGTTCGACCAAACCCCCCACCCCCACCCCCGCGTCGGTAGAGGGCGTGACTGGTGTAGAGGAGTGCTCGTGTTATTCAGGCGATTTTTGACACGGTACTGTGAACACGCTTATGATTACGACTCCGTAGACGACATGGATGAGGAGTCCTGTGGAGGAGAACACTTTACCTTGGCTGATGTAATGAAAAAATTGGAAAGCCAAAAAAATCTTATTTAGACGACAGAGTGTCTACATTTAATGCCGAAGCCAGTGATTGTAAAAACTGAAAGTCGACAAAAATTTATCTTGGAAAAGAGAAGGTAATCACCAGAAACTTGACTCAACAGTATTGTGGTGAACAAATTGACAGTGCCTTATAGTCTTGGAAAGAGAAATAAACTTATCAGAATTGCTTACATTTGAGTTGCCCGCTGGCAAACTGTTAAGGAATATTCTGTAAATCATCTCGCTTGTGATTCTGAGAGCAAGAAGAGGCAGTTTATAGCTGAGGCCAGTGATACAGAGAAAATAAAAGAAAACGACATAAAGAGAGCCAAAAATCAAGTTATATCTGCAGACCGAGCAATGCCACTTCAGCGGCGATGGGTGTGGTCAGCGATACTTCTCAGCGGAGTTGTATTCTTCGCAGCAGCTGGTCGGGACATTGCTTCACGTGTGGAGAAAAGGGTCCATTTCAGGCTTGAGTGCCCAACCTACAGAGAGAAAAGTTCTTCAGTCGAACCCCAGAGATCAGGGAATATCTGGTATGGGGAAGAAGGCGGACGTATTGATAAAAGATAAGTATGTTAGTTTCAGTCAAGAGTTGCATCAGGCCCGTACCCGGCAATTTCACTAAAGGGGGCTCTTTTTCTGAAAAAGTGCACTTTTACCATGAAACCTTCATGTACCTAGATAAAATTGTACCCAGAGGGTGCTTCTCCCGGCAAAAAGATGGGTTCGAAAGAACCCCCCGAACTCCCCCTGGCTACGGGCCTGAGTTGCATAATTATGAACATGAGGAAAATCAGAAAATCATACATGTGAACAGTGGATAAAGAACCAATTTAATAAGTTTTTTAGGAAGAAATAGGATCTTCATCTTTTATTCTAGACTTGATAAAAATGGTTATAAATTTCCGTTCATAACAACACTGTGTGGGACGAGGAAAGATAACAGCTTTAACCATTGAAAAATAAGGTTTTTGAATAAGGGAAAAGAAGGCTTTGATTGAAAGGTGTAGTAAGCAACCAAATGTTGGTAACCCTTTAACAGTAGCATTGCACAGCAGTGAAAAAAGAGATTGGTTTTAGATTTACGAGAAGTAAACAAATATGGCTGTAAGCAGACTGGTAGTTACGAATATTTGAGAATGGCTCTTATGTTTATAAAATTGGTGGTTGGATGATTAAATTTGATCTTGATTCAGCTTATCATCATCTAGATATCCATTATCCTCATGCGGATTACTCAGGTTTTTCATGGAAAATTCAAGATAACCAGGTTTATTTGAAATTTTTCTTCCATTCGGGTTACATGTACATGTATCATTAGTACTTCTTTTTTTCAAAATTGACTAGGCAAGTAATAAAAAATGGAGATAGTTATGTTTTCAAACTTTGATGTATTTATATCACGGTCTGTGGTACTGTAGTAACATAGATAGATTGGAGCATTAGGGTGCGGAGATCAAAGAGCATATTGCTAAGTCAGATTTTATGCAAAATCAAAATTCTTGATATTAGATATTAAGAGAACTGGCATTGATATTCGCACGAAAGAGAACAGAGGTCAATTGGTCCACGTTAAAAGTCAGATTATATCTGTGTCTGTTGTGTATATTAGCATGGTTATTTTTTAAAAGTGCTCTATTTTTGGAATCAGAAAGTGTTGTGTGTAAAGACGCATGAAGTCAAATTGGACTTAGCGTACAGATCTTGCTGTAGTAAATCAGAATTTTACAGTTTTAACCTCAGTGCAGTAAGGTAGTTTATTCTGGTGCTAGCAGTACTGGGTTTGGAGGATATTGGGTGGAGACACCTGAAAGGGAGTGTCACGGGCTGATGAGGCGACGGAGAGCTCTACTTACAGAGACCTGTTAGCTGTTTACAGGGTCCTGTATTCCATGGCAAACACGCTGAGTGGTTCGAGATTGAATTGGGTTTTCTGATAACAAAGATATTGTAAATATAAAAGAAAGAAGTAGCATAAAGGGTAAATTACAAGCTATTATTTTAGATATTTTTCTTCTAATGACGTAGTGGAGTAATTCAATAGAAATGGAAGGATACTGGGATAAGAAAAGGTCAGGCAAATTACATAAGTAGAAATGTGGATGTTGATGATTGGGGTATATCTGAAGATTTTTTTCTCACACTTTGATAAAGCCCCCTTTACACTAGACGGCGTCCTTTCTGCGTCCAGCAGTAGGCCCCGTTTGAGAGTTAAAAAATTATAATATTTTACGTGCCGACAGCTGGCCGATCGTTGAGCATTCATTCTGATACAAAATCAATGCTCATGCCTCCTTATTAAGACCACAGCGATTCCAAATTTCATGGTCGTAGAAAGGACGCCGTCCAGTGTAAAGGGGGTATAAGATATGGGACCTCTTGAAGTGGATTGGTTTGCGTCCTGGTGCAATGCTTAAGTAGGCCTACATATTTTTTTCTAGATTTTAGAATCCAGGAGATGCTGGTGTTGACGCATTTACGGTGAATTGGAGACGAGTCTGTTACGTCTCTCTCCTGGTAATCTGATCACGTTCGGTCCCTTGCCACTAGATTGTTTCCGACAGACTCTGTTCTGGTCCTTCGCCTGCATATGTCCATCATGGCGTGATCAAATGTGGCACCGAAACGCGCCCATGACTGACTCTGTTATGGTCTCAAACTTTTTGAAGCTTAAATCTTTTAGATGCTACCCAGTTTCTTATTGAAAAGTCGAAATGTAGAGGTGGCAAATGACTTTTGATAAATCGGGTAAAGTCGCATTTATGCCCAGTAAAAATTCTTGGAAATAGGCTTATTTAGATTTAATTGGTAGGCCTCGATCCTAGCTACAGCTTTTCAAATTTATAGGGCCTATTTTAAATATAATATCGATGAGTTACAATGAAAGTTATATATGAAAATTTTATGGGGGGGGGGGGGAGGGAGGGGGTAATGATGCAGGGAAGCAACGATGCGGGAAAGTAACGATTCGGAGGAGTATTGGTGTCGTGGAGTAACGGTGCGCGTACAACAGTAATTTTAGGGGGTACGTTTCGATGAGGGAATCTATCGGTGTGGGGTCGTATCGATGCGAAAATTAAAAAAAAATCAAGCAAATGCTCTCAAGGCACTATTTTCCCTCAAAACAGGTGGGACTGTACTCAAATAGGGCTAAAAATCACGTTTTGATAGATAAAATCAACAGTACCGGTAAGTCTTTAAAGAAAAATATCCAACCCCCCTTTTTTAGTATTTTTTCGCATTAGGATTATTTATTAAAGCGTACGTGTATTCATCACGATCTATTTTGTAAATAATTTTAGTCTGGATTATGCTTGGATTGATCCTTGTCACTGTTTGGCAACTCGCCTTTAATGAATGCTGATCGACAGACAAACTTAAAGAGTTATTCTTTAAAGAACACTATCTAACCCCTTTGCCTTGTGGCATAATGTCTTTATAAAGGTAATTTATCTTGTGTGAAGAGGGTGTCTTGCCTCACTTAAAAAGGGAATCGATCTTCATGCTGGTTGTTGCAGAACTGATGCTAACTAACTTTGTACAAATAAGGTTTTAATAATTTTAAATAATTTTGACATTATTGAACATTGCATATGAAAAGTTTTGATACGATTAAAATAATGGGTAATAAAGATCATGGGTTACTATTTAGCTGGCGTTAACTTCGTCTTGCGATATAAATGAATAAATGTTGCAAATTAAACTTTATTATAGTGTACTGTGTATGTGTTATACGACGACGTTAACTACTTCTCCCCCAAGCCCCCCCCCCCCCCCCCCCCAATAGCATGTTTCTTTTCATATCGAAATGTTTTCAAGGCGTGGCAAAGAATCCCATCAACGTTTTATTACTCATTCATTGTAGCAGCATGTTTTAAAATATTAAAACAAATTCATTTTTATAGGTACACATATTAATCGATAAAAAATATAAACATTCACCTTATTTCCTCGGTGTTGAGTTTTGTGGCAGTAATGTTTCAAAGAATTATGTAAGTATGCACGATGGAAGGCGCATGCACAATATTTGTGGAATAAAATGGTGAATTTTAACAGCAAGCGGAACTCAGTAAAATCTACAGGTACATTAGGGGCGGGTCCAGGTTTTTTTAAGGGGGGGGGGCGTTTACTTTTTACGGATTGACAGGCTTCGGATTGCGAGGCCGACCCTCACCCCGTTGGCGTTATGTTCGGGGCATGCTCATGGGCGCCGAAAAAATTGAGGTTTATTACGGCAAATGCATTTAACCAAGAACATTCATGAACACTTTCAACCACATTCCCTCGCCTGAAATGAACCATACCTGTCTGTAAATTTGCATAACAATAACTTGCTCGTCGTAGTGCGAGCTGTTTTTCCGAATACTCACTCGGCAGTAGGACACAGCAGGGTGAAGACGCAACATCTGTGGTGCAGTCGCAAGGTCGAGCTTTTGTGAGGCGTAGAAGCAAATGCATGTTTCGTAAGTATCACTTTTTCTTCAGTAGCGTATGTCAGTTGATAAAAAGAGAGTAGAAGAATGCAAGGAAATTTATGAAAAGTATTTACTGGTGTGTTACTACTCTTTGTTATATTTTGCCTGTCGTTTCTGTTATGTCACTCAAAATATTATTAAGCAAATTAGTAAATGGGCATACCACCACAAAGATCACGGACTTATTTAGATGAAAATACCGAACTTGCCACTGTTCCGAACTTTTGATCCAAAGACAAGCGTGCCCCATCAACGTGTACATCAATTTTATAGTTTATCAAATATTCAAACGTCTCATTTTACGACAATCTCGTTAGTTCAAAATTTTTAAATCAGTATTTGTAGGTTTGTTTACCTCATTTTACATGTACCTGTAAAATGTTTGTAAGCAGTGTTGAAATACGGGATAATGATTTAAACTAAAGCTCAATATGGCTTGATGCAAAGCTATTTTAGATATTACAACATTATATAGTGGGTAAAATAAATAAACGTCCGTAGTGATGACCGCCACAAATTGGAGGAGTATTTTCAATATTTATTTTTTCAAAGATATCTGAAATATCTTTTTTACTAACTTCAGATCTTAATTTTGGTATTAGGCAACTTAGATATCGATTGCTTTTTTGATGTTCTATCTAAGCCTGAACTTTGGACAAGTCGGTAAACACCCTTCTCATTTCAAGTCCCTCTTCTCTTAGATGTAAAATGCATTGGTCGTATCTTCCGAGCCTGCCCGTTTAGTCAGATATTGTTAACGTTATCTTCTCATTTCAGAAGTCCACTGAGATACTGAGAACTGCACGACACCCGCCTGCTAGCAACCAAGCCTTCCTTTCATGGTCTGGAGCACTTCACACATCCGTGCATCTTTTGTTTTAAAATTGAATAAATACGTTTGTAATTTCTTGTTTTCTTTTCACTTCGGTTTGAAATAATGATAAAAATATTGGCAATAATAGAGGGTTAGGGGTAAAATTATAAAGATATGATTATTGTCTGAGCACTTTCAAATTAAATCAGCTTAAACTGATTTGTAAGCATTGTTTGGGATTGATGATTTCTACAGTCACAGAAGATGTCTTAAAAGATTTAAAAGTTTTGTTAATATGCCCAATATTTTGTAAATAATTGAGTTTGAGCATTTTAAGAATACATCTACAGGATTTTCCAATAGCCCAAATTTATAAATACAATTTGTATGAATTTACGATCTTGCTTTTTTGAAAATCTGCCGTACATTTTATTTTATAGAGAGACTATTTTTTATTGATTGGAATAAATTAGGTCGTCCTCCCGGTTATAATTTTCTTAATTTAATAGGTCCATACTTTAAGGGTCCTGGTTTGCTAGAGAAATTTGATTCAAATGCCATGACCTTCTCATTAGACGAATACTTCAATTTTAAATTGAAACAGAAATAAAATCCTGACACACTTTAGAAATGGCAACAGTTGAAATTTGCTCCTCCACCCAAAAATTAGGTCTGCGTATTCCAATATAATTGAAATGTCTCATTAAAATCATAATTAAAATATATTGATCCTTTGATTTAATTTTGTGACCTAGATTTATTTCCACACAGTCCCAAATGTGCAGACAAAAAGGTAATATTTTTAATAAATTGTGAAAATGCAAATTTTGAGACAAGTAAATTAGTATCTATTCCTGCATGATACAAAGTCATAACCTTTTAAAACTTGGTAACATAATACTAAAAAACATAGTGCTCTATTGCATCGGCATTAAAAAGTAATTTTGTGATGATTTTACTTGCGTGCGTTCTTCAAAAAGAATGGTCTCGGCCCACCTGTCACCCCTCAATTGGAAAATGGATTCGCCCCACCTGTCACCCCTCAAATGTAAAATGGACTCGCCCCACCTGTCACCCCTCAAAAGTAAAATGGACTCGCCCCACCTGTCACCCCTCAATTGTAAAATGGACTCGCCCCACCTGTCACCCCTCTAATGTAAAATGGACTCGCCCCACCTGTCACCCCTCAAATCAAACTATAATAGAAAATTCTTGTGGTGTGAGATTTATTTTTTTAATTTTCATTTCTTTATTTTTGGTCCATTTCAACACGTTTATTACAAATTTAAAAATAAGTTTTTTTTCCTTTATGCTTAATTTGAAGGTGCGAAATATATTTAAGATAGAGAAGATTTTATTAATATTATTTTGACTTGTCTTTTAGATCGAATAAAAAAAGCAATTATAAATTACTCGTCATTCACAGAATCAGACAAATCAATAATAACACTTACAAATGTTGGAAATAAAAATGACTCCTACAATGTAAATTTAATTAATGTCAACAAAGTAAATTAATTACCTGAACTAAAACGTGGAAGGTTGCAAAAATTGCACAAATTCTTTAAAAATCCATAGTGACTTTAAAAACCCTTAATAAGTAATTACATCACTGCACAATGGGAAATTGGAGAGGGTAAATGAGTTTCAACGGAGAATTGGCTGCATGTAGCTTGTCCTAGGGTATAATTTGAAAATAAAAATGCTGAAACTGTGTTTAGAAAGTCACAATAAAGGTCGTTCCATTTTCTCCATAATGCATGTGCGCTGCGTGTTCGTTCGAGCGCGGCAGTGCCTGCGTGTGTGCCTGTGTGAGGTTCCAAAATACGACTAGAGGGCTTTGGAAAATTCTAGCAATGAGACGCTTGTGCATTTTGCAGGATCGCCGCAAAGTTGGAAGCTCTGAAATATCAAGACAATGTTTTATTTACGATTTTAAAATGATATTCCAATGCAATACAATTTAAATTAGAATAAGATAACTGAAAGAACATAAAAGTTTTAAACGACAAAGAGTTTAAACGACAGGGAAATCTCTAAAGGTCTTGAGTTGACTGATTGGAGCTTCAGTACGATTACCTACATTGTAACATGAACGGGCGAAAACTTAAGCAAGCCGTACATTTACTTATGCACTGTACGTGTACCACATCATCGAATTATGTAACTTCTTTCCACTCGCAGTAGCTAGTACGATATTTTACTCACAAAACATATTTGCCTCAACCGTAGCTCCACCAAACGTGTACACAATGGGTCCGAGCTTCAACGTTGAAGAAAGTGTTCGGCACAGTGACTTCACCACATCTATCAATGTAGGTCATCTTCTTACAGGGTCTAGCTGTCAAGTGACCAGGCATAGCTCGCGTGTCTTATTGTTATGCAAATTACAACTGGTACAGTGTATGGCGCATTTTGATTGAGGAGTTGCTGTGGAAATCGGTCTCAAAGAACGGCCAATCTATAGAATAGTATTTTACTATTGTGACAAGGCAATAACCCCTGTCGCAAAGACCTATTTGTCACCATACACGATATTTCTCAAGGACAACAGTTTATATAAAATCAAAAATTAAAAATAACAATGAAGATAGATATAACTAATCAAATATCAATGGAGTAAATGATGATGCTCATACGTTCGGGGAGGAGCGTTGCAAGGGATGAAATATACTTGTACGTTGTACGGACCGCGGACTATCGATTGCAATTGCAGATATATATATATATATATATATATATATATATATATATATATATATNCAAAAATTTTAAATCAGTATTTGTAGGTTTGTTTACCTCATTTTACATGTACCTGTAAAATGTTTGTAAGCAGTGTTGAAATACGGGATAATGATTTAAACTAAAGCTCAATATGGCTTGATGCAAAGCTATTTTAGATATTACAACATTATATAGTGGGTAAAATAAATAAACGTCCGTAGTGATGACCGCCACAAATTAGAGGAGTATTTTCAATATTTATTTTTTCAAAGATATCTGAAATATCTTTTTTACTAACTTCAGGTCTTAATTTTGGTATTAGGCAACTTAGATATCGATTGCTTTTTTGATGTTCTATCTAAGCCTGAACTTTGGACAAGTCGGTAAACACCCTTCTCATTTCAAGTCCCTCTTCTCTTAGATGTAAAATGCATTGGTCGTATCTTCCGAGCCTGCCCGTTTAGTCAGATATTGTTAACATTATCTTCTCATTTCAGAAGTCCACTGAGATACTGAGAACTGCACGACACCCGCCTGCTAGCAACCAAGCCTTCCTTTCATGGTCTGGAGCATTTCACACATCCGTGCATCTTTTGTTTTAAAATTGAATAAATACGCTTGTAATTTCTTGTTTTCTTTTCACTTCGGTTTGAAATAATGATAAAGATGTTGGCAATAATAGAGGGTTAGGGGTAAAATTATAAAGATATGATTATTGTCTGAGCACTTTCAAATTAAATCTGCTTAAACTGATTTGTAAGCATTGTTTGGGATTGATGATTTCTACAGTCACAGAAGATGTCTTAAAAGATTTAAAAGTTTTGTTAATATGCCCAATATTTTGTAAATAATTGAGTTTGAGCATTTTAAGAATACATCTACAGGATTTTCCAATAGCCCAAATTTATAAATACAATTTGTATGAATTTACGATCTTGCTTTTTTGAAAATCTGCCCTACATTTTATTTTATAAAATGTATTCATTTTATTTTATTGATTGGAATAAATTAGGTCCTCCCGGTTATAATTTTCTTAATTTAATAGGTCCATACTTTAAGGGTCCTGGTTTGCTAGAGAAATTTGATTCAAATGCCATGACCTTCTCATTAGACGAATACTTCAATTTTAAATTGAAACAGAAATAAAATCCTGACACACTTTAGAAATGGCAACAGTTGAAATTTGCTCTTCCACCCAAAAATTAGGTCTGCGTATTCCAATATAATTGAAATGTCTCATTAAAATCATAATTAAAATATATTGATCCTTTGATTTAATTTTGTGACCTAGATTTATTTCCACACAGTCCCAAATGTGCAGACAAAAAGGTAATATTTTTAATAAATTGTGAAAATGCAAATTTTGAGACGAGTAATTTAGTATCTATTCCTGCATGATACAAAGTCATAACCTTTTAAAACTTGGTAACACAATACTAAAAAAACATAGTGCTCTATTGCATCGGGATTAAAAAGTAATTTTGTGATGATTTTACTTGCGTGCGCTCTTCAGAAAGAATGGTCTCGGCCCACCTGTCACCCCTTAAATTAAATGGTGTCGCCCAACCTGTCACCCCTCACATTAAATGGACTCGCCCCACCTGTCACCCCTCAAATGTAAAATGGACTCGCCCCACCTGTCACCCCTCA